CTGCTCGACAAACCCCGTTACTCTGCGCCGGACCGAGCGGCAGCATGGCACAACCTCGTTTTGGCTGAGCAAACCCGTACCAGTCCCACGAGCGGCTCCAGGACCAGGAAATGGATCGTTACCAGCCTTTCAAATAGTTTTGACTGGAACTTGCTGAAGTCAAGCCAATCGTTGAACTGCTGTACTGGGAGATGCAGAACAGGCAGGGGGGAGAGAAAGAGAATGTGGTTTTGTTTCTTTTCTGTAAAAAAGGAACACTTCAGATTTCTTGCACACGTCAGAATTCCACAAAATGCTACTGAGCACCCCTGATCTCCACGGAAGTGTTCCACTAGGTCACCTGCGAGGCACCAGCGGTGCCACGCTCCAACCCCCACGGCAAGAGTTCAAGCTCTGCTCTTGCCCACACCCCACCGAACCAGCGGGACAGGGGCCGCACGAGCCTCCGAAGCCCGACAACATCCGTTTCTCGTCGCAGGGAGCCAACCCACCGGAGGCCGTCTCCGAACACCCCGACATCTGCCCCAGGGGCCGGTACCTGGGTCCGGGTGGGAAACAGGGCACATTCCTGCACAGCCAAGGAGCACACGCTGCCCCTGATCCGCAGCTCCGCAGCACGGTCCTTCCCCGCTCCAGGACACCATCACGCTCCTCCCAGTTCCAGCGGGTACCGGCAGTGCCCGACTCCGTGACCGGAGCCTCCCAGATGAGCAGGCAAAAGGCCGAGGCCTGGCGGTGCAGAGCCTGGAGAGCGTAAGCACCACAGAAGCAGTAAACCCCATTGAAGAGAATTCACAGAATCTTATTTTCATGGTAACTTTAATAATATTCCTTTGCAAAACGAAGCTGGGAGCCTAGAAGTGCATAAACAGGCAGTACACAGAGCCAGTCAACGATCCCTCGTTACCGTCAGCGTCCCAGTCGCACGGGTCATCCTTTCTACGGGCAACGGCTTTGCTGTTGGTCCATTGAGTATCTTGGAGTAGAATTGCTTTTCCTTTCACATACAAACTGGTAAAAACATCAGCTTAAACTGGCAGGACGTTAACGTCTGAACAACGGAAAAGCTGCCTCACCCCTAGGCACGAGCTCGACATCAGCGTACACGTACCCTGGTCTTACAGAGCTTGCACGGACCGCTGAGAGCGTTATCTCCGCTGGACACACGGGCTGCACCATCCTCGCTACCACGACGCAAAGCGTCGGCAGCGTCACGGGCACCGCTGGTGCTGAGTGTTCCAAAGCCCCAGTGACGTCCCACAGAACCGCTGCGCTCCCACAACCCTGTGGCAAACCGAGCCGGTCAAACTTGACCTCATCCCAAGACTGGGATTTCTTCATCGCGCTCTACGGCCCACAGGAAGGCCAGAAACTCCTTTCGTTGTGCCCAGGACTGATTCTGCCCGTAAGAACCGGCTGTTGAGGCTCCGAGCGACGGCCTCGCTTCCGGCGGGCGCTGGAAGGCCGTGCCCTGGGGAAGGCAAGCGCAGAGACGCCGAGCACAGCGCGTCGGGAAGCGGGGACACTCTTCCCTTTCCCACAGTTGACCAGAAACTGCTCAGAGCCAAACCCTGGTCCGTGCAAGCGCTTGGTTCAGTGGGTGGACAAGTAACCAGCCTCAAGAGACTCGACCCAATCTTTCCGGACATTCCGCTCCTAAGCTGCTTCTGAGGAAAGTTCTGAGAAGGACTCTAATAAAAATAAGACAGAACCTCAAAACGAATGCAGTGTTAGAAATAGCATATATTACAAATCTTCTCTCGATAGGAACAATTAATAAGAATACATATTAGCTTAAAAACAGATCAGCAAATGTTGCCGAGCTGCAAGAAATCTCAATTCACTATTTACAAATAAGACAAAGTGAATACAGGAAATTGTACACATTTGGTAGTTCATCGGTTATCGTTTGCCGAGTGGTCTGTTGGAAACTGATATTTAGGAAGACTGGAAAAACACCCCAACCAGTTATCACCTCGTCAGCCTCTACCTTCAGTACAGAAAACAAGGAGAACCAGACAACCCTCTGCCTCATCGGGGGATCAGGGACGGACGACAACGCCAGGAAAACCTTCTGTGCGCAGGGTTCGCCCCAAACACACCTACCCCTCCAGAGGGGACCCTGGCCACAGGATT